CTGACACTCAAAATGCATCCAGAAAGGTTTATTCTATAAAAGTGTTTTTCATTTCACCAATATTCTCCATTTAACAGAAACTGCACATCTCTGAGATCGTTAAACATGTTTTTTGGGTTGGTTTGCTTGTTATCAACCATTTTTCAAACAACCATATTCCAGATGTGCTCTAGTACATCTTTCTTTTTCTGGGGTGAAGTGAGATCTTGTCCAGATGCATATATATTCTCTAAGTTTTGTCTTTACCTATCAGGTAGTTAGAATACTGGAAGCATCAAATTAAAATCTGCTAATTATATCAGGATCCCTACCTAATTCTTATTCTCCTTGCACTTCACCTGAATTATTGTTATTGTGCTCACCTTCTTCAGTTTTTCCTCCTTATTCTGAATTATTCTACACCCTTTAACCACCTTAAAATATGCCTTTCATCCTGCTGTTTCCCGGTACAAGAGCTTTGGCCCTTTCGTATCTACTCTATTCCAAGAACCCTATCATGCTGGACTCAAGGCTTTTCATGACTTCTCCACACTTAATTCCCACTTCACTCCTCCAAGACAATGCAGCAGCCAAATTGAACTATTTTCTTTTTCTGTTTTACTCTCAAGAACCTTGGCTAATAGATTTCATTTCTGGTACTGACTGCCTCTTTCTATGTATGGATTCCTGATCATCCTTTGTTCCCAGTCAAATTACCTCCTCCATCATTACCTAACATATTTCCCAATGCTACTCCTCACCATTCCTCTTCACTAGCTCCTGCTCCAGATCAAAAGTCATCCCTCTTCCACTGAATTCCCAAACTATTCCTCTTTTTTTAACAAATTATCACTTTCTACAGTATACTGCTGTATGTTTATATATGCCTATTTCCCTAAAACAAAACAAAAACACAGAACCAGACCTAAAAGCAGTTAAAGCGCTAGAGTTGAAATTTTGCTTGTCTTTGCCTCCCCGCATGGTGTCTCATAATATTTAACTTTAAGCTCTATTGTTATATTCTACTAATAATTACCTATGTGACCTTGAGCAGGTCACTTGAACTGTCTGAGTCTGTTCATACATAAATGAATGTTTAAATTTAATACTTTCATTGAGACAATTTAAATTACAAATTCTCAGGACCACACAGGAAGACATGAAAGCATAGACCAAAATAGATCTCTCTATAACCTCTACAAAACCTCTTTCCAATGATAATTTCTGGCAATTTTTTTTCTTAATTATTTGGATCTATTTAGAATGGGATGTTCACATACATTTTTGGTCTCACTGCTAGTGAAATACTAGTAATGTATCAACTTTTGATTGGTGTAGCATTATTGTTATTAACAATATTATTTGCTTTGGGAGAGAATCATTCATTCAATGAATAGTTTTAAATACTTATTGACCAAGTATTTTTCCAAGTTTTATGGGCTCTCATGGCCCTTTTCCATTTTAGTGAGTGGAAGTGGGAAGGGAAGAAAAGCTGATGTAATTAAGAAAGATTTTTGTTTCCTATTTTAACTCTTGTACATAATCTCTCTTTCTCTTGCCTTATTAGTAGAACATGCCAGTTTAAGAGCACCTATGTCATGATCAGACTCAGACTCTCCCATGATTAATATTTCCTTAAAGTAAAAGAGAAATGCTATTTTTTCCATTAGTCCAGATACTAGAAGGGGGTGAGTGTGAAGTGCTCCCACTCAGTCCCTCTAAAGATAATACACTGGAAACATTTTGGTGGGTGTGAATCACTCAGACAAGCATTCTTCACTCAAAAATAGAAACTTGTCTTATTTGTTCCAGATGTTCTACAGCTGCAGGGAAGTTAAAACCAGTGGTCCTGTTTTTCAATGCAACCAAACTCTTATTGCATTTGGAATTTCTTAACCAATGAACTCATATTACTTGTTCTAAGACCTGCAGAATTTTCTTTTTTCCACTGTTACCATTCACAAACAACTGTTTCATGGGAACTATACTTCAGAATTAGGGAGTCTGCATCTGTGTTGTACAAAGGAAACACATCCTGTTTACCATTATTTCCACCTTTCATTTATCTTGACCTCTTTAATTTTAAACATAAAATCTTCAAAGGGAACACTTGAAGAAAAAGAAAAGGAGGGTTGGGTTGTATTGTTCTCATAATATTTTACAGTACTCCAACGGTTGGAGTTATAAGAAGATGTTTGTTTTAGGAAGAATTTTTGGCAAAATTATTTTTAAAAATGAGTATAGAAATGTAATTCTTCACACTTGCAGTTATTAAAAAATAGACATTTGAGATTATTTCTTTTTCCAATAGGTCCATAAAAAATGTATTGGATGCATAAAATTCAAAAAAACAATCAGAGGTCTTTGAAGAGGGTAAATAAGAACTTATGTGAGAAAAGCACATGCTAATTTTATATTAGTCCACAAAAGTTAAAATCTAGAAATGTTAGTTTACTTATATTAGAGAACAGAGTGCCAGATTTCTGAAAGTTATTGTCTTCTTATGGAGAAGGTAACCTTAAGTTGCAGTTCATAGACAATTTGTAGCAAAATCACAATAATTTCATGTTAAAGTATGTACTTCAGGGCTCATTTGAGACTAAATCTTTGAAAATTGAGCCTGGTACATTAGAAGGACTCCAGAAACCAGAAAAGCCAAAAACCAAACCAATGAAAGAAACAAACAAATAAATGAATCCTTATCTTCCAGTTGTGAACATTTTTTAAAAACCCATGAATGTGAAGTGAACTTAACAAGGCCATGCAAACAATTAATAGTAGTAAGTTAAGGCCTAAAAATATGTTTTCTAATGCTGAGACTAGAATTTCTTTCCAGAAAGGCTGTATTTAATTTTTATTTTCAAAAATAACAAAATTAAAGTAAAATTTAAAAACTATCATGAATACAATTTTAAAAAAATATCCAAATAGCCTCAGGTGTCTGACTGAATAATTGTTTACTCTTGTTACTCATTAACAAAAACCTTGTTTTTTCTCTAAGATTTAGAAAAATTTTCCTTCAAATTCAACTTACTTTCTTCCAGAAAAAAGAGGAAATGTTACATTTTAGGCATTGTTAACATAATCTTTGAGACGTCATGATTATTTTGAAAGCGATCATTTTAATTAAATTACTTGAATCATACTCAAGTAATAGTTTGTATTTAGTAATGGTTCCCCACAGTTCACAAAAATTACTATTCAGGACATACATGCTTCACATATGCCATTAGTTAAAACTGAGCCTAAAGTAGAGTAAGTATGATGTCATTCAAAACTGATTCAAAGCTGTTTCACACACCTTAATGAGGCAACTAATAATTTTAAACTTCTTATTGTATTTAGTTTAGCTTTAAAAAGGAAACTAATTTGTGAATGCTATTTATTAAGTTTTCTGTACTTGCCCCAACTGATCACAGATTTAAACCTATAAGCAAAGAGGTACTACTAGAGAGAAGGTGTATTGATAAACTTTTTTGGTATTCATTGATTCATAATAAATGTGATCAGGGAGATTTCCTGATTTAGGACTTTATTTTACCAATGAGTAAACCTGAGACTGAAAATGATCTGTGTTCTTTCAAAGGAGATAGCATTGGGTCGGCAGCTGCTAGTTGTCCATCCAAACCTCTTCCCTTCCCGTTCCAGAACTCCTGCTTTTTAGCTGGCTGCATGACTACCTGAAGAAAGGTTATACTTCCAAATCATGCATATCACTGGACATGGCCATATGGCTAAGCTCATGCAATGGAACATGAAAATGTTTGTGTGGTAGCTTTTGGGGAAAGCTTAAAAGGCAGGAAGGGCATGTCTTTTGCATCTTCTTGCCTTGCCCTGTGTGTTCCTTTTGGAATGTGGTTGTTTTGGCTGGAAATCTATTTGGCTTCTGAGAATGAAGGCCACCCTGATCCAGATGATCTTGGATCTGCCATCCCAACCTTGGATGCTACTATCTAGATTCCCATATGAGAGAGAAGGAAGCTTCTATCATGTTTAAATGGCTATCTTGGGATTTATGATACTTGCAGCTGAATCTGCAGCAGTAATCTGTTGAATTGCAGACAATAACCTATTTCTTGGTATAGAATTTCATTCACTCTTTGGACTCAATTATTGAGCACATTTTATGTGCCAGGAATTGTACTAAGAGGATATGAAACAAAGATTTTTATTATTATTTTTTTAAAATTTGAATCTCTAAAAGCTTTGGAAAAAGATTTGAGAACCCAAATCCCCCTTTCCTTTGGCCCATCTTTGCCTCTATCCTGTGTATATCACAAAATTCTTATTTTCTTCACTTTAAAAGGAATATTTTCCTGTCTGGATTTTAGACTGATCTTGTCATTTGAAAGTGAATACTATATTTTTCAAAAGTTAAGAAAACCCCCAAACACATAAACAAACCAAGCACATAATGATTCAACTTTTCATCCCTAGACATATGACAGGTCATGATACAAAGTTCCGATAGAATTGCAGTCTTTGAAAGTATGTAAAATGTAAATATATTTCCCTAAATAAATTCAAAATATCTTGGGTCATATATTAAAATAATAATAAGTCAACACTTAGAAATATACTAATGGCATATTTATATTCAGTATTAGTTACATATACTGAGAGATATTAGAATGTAGGGTACAATTGTGAAGTGAGAGTCCCTCTTCCCTAAATAACTCACCTCCCCACTAAGAGCAAAAAATGACCAGTCATCTCCAGATTAAACAGATACAATGACCTTTGGCTCCCTAATCTAATCCTGCTGCAAGACATGAACTGTTCCTACTCTTAAGGTCTAGGTAGATTCCTCACAAATTCTTTCTTATTAATTTCTGATAATTTATTAAGCTTTGGAGGTTTTCTTTAAAAAAAATTAAAAGAGAGTATAAGCTCTATGTTTCAAAGGAGATTTTGTTTCTGATCTAAAAATACTCCAGGGTGTCAAATATGTAATAGATTTTTTAATTATAATAAAAATACAATAAAATCTGAAGAGATATATAAATGTAAACCAGAATTACCTTTGGGTCCACGTTGAGAATTTTTCTGTCTCTTTTATATTTGAAAAGTAAGCCTTCTGGATTGTCAGCAATCACTTGATAATTGGGAGTGGAGTTACAAACAGCAGTGTGACTGTCCCAGTTGTAAAAACTACAAAATAACATTTATTAGGAGTTAAGATGTGTAATACATTAACAAGTGTATTTCAGAGAATATTTTGGATAATTTGGTGTCAAGATAAAGGAATAGGGACAGTATGTACAACCATGTAGAACACATCTGAGATTCAAATTCTTACAGAAGAGATTAGATATATTTATAATGATTTTGCATGATTTCCTGGTTTGGACACTAAGATCTAGGACCTATTCCAGTATTAAATTCTCAGGAAGTCAAAAAGAAAATTGATGCAATTTAAGGTTATTTATTCCATTGTAGACTTGTCAGGGTAGAAAGAATCTGTTTGCTGGAAGGAAAAGCAGGCTAAGTCACTTCTTTTCATTTGAAATCATTTCAAATGAATTTCTTCCTTCAGACTTTCTTTTTCAATATGTTTCCCAGGGAGCAGGAGAACTATATATGTTTGAGTGGTTATCATAGGGCAGACATGATGTGATGTATTGTAACACAACAGCCCTGTGAAATTGCTCATTTCACAGACAAGGTAAGGAGATGAAGCCAGGTCAACTAGCAAGGTTAAGGTCTCCCAACTTATATATCATGTGGATAATATTTCAATCCAAATCTGAAATCTCAGCGTTTCAAAGCATACATGTGCTCTTTCAATTATTCAACATTTCTGTGTAGCATTTTTCCTTTATAAAAAAAAATCTTCTATGGAAACTTCCTATTTTTCCACATGTTGTTTTGTACTTACTTGTCAAAACTGAATACAATGCTGTCATTTGAATTAGTAGAATCATCAATGTACTTTTAAAAAATATCTTATTCTTAGTAACATTTCTTTTTTATATTCTTTAAATATATTATTAAATGATTTTAAGTATTTTTACACGTAAAATGTTGAAAAAATGATGAAATTTTAACATTTAGAATTAGATGAACATTAAAAAGTAAGAAATATATAACTCTGGGATCTTTTTTAGAAAGTAATTGTTACATTATTACATATTTCCTTCTATTATGCATCAGTTTTTTTCTATATCTCATAAATATATTTTTTTATGTTAAGTGATTTTCCTATATACATTATGGATCAAAACAATTACTTTTCTCTTATGCTAAATACCATGAATTAATAATGATAATGTTGAACTATATTACAGAATGAACTCATGAGCTTAAAAAACAAATAGCAGCTGTCTCTGCAGAAACTAAAGTAATGGAGAGGCAAATTTATCAGGAGGATGATGCCATAGAGAATTCCAGACTTCAATGTGGAACCATGGAATCTCAAAACAAGTCCTTATATACCAACAATGTGAAGCTTAAGTTTGATATCAAAATCTCCCAAGAAAATTTTCAGGAGCACATGATAAAATATAAGATTTATTATGCAAAAATAAAAGCACATAAAGATATTTTGGGGGAGATAGAAAGCCAATGGTCATTTATGATTGAACTCTGTGAAAAACAAGATCTAGTTAAAAAACTAAAGACAATGAAAGAGGAACTTATGCAAGATCTCCAAAATCTAGGAGGGAACCAAATGACACAAGTACATGTTTGAACTGTTACTTATCAAAACTAGTTGTTATCTAACTCATGTACTTATTGAAGTACTTGAAAATTGTGAAAATAGTTTCTGAAGGTTAATAGAGAGCATTTTACTAACTTAATAATAAATGTATTATTTAATATATTCTTTTTTTTAATTGTTATTGTTGGTAGTTCAAAACATTACATAGTTCTTGATATATCATATTTCACACTTTGATTCAAGTGGGTTATGAAATCCCATTTTTACCCCATATACAGATTGCAGAATCACATCAGTTACACATCCATTGATTTACATATTGCCATACTAGTGTCTGTTGTATTCTGCTGCCTTTCCTATCCTCTACTATCCCCCCTCCCGTCCCCTCCCCTCATCTCTCTCTAGCCCCTCTACTGTCATTCATTTCTCCCACTTGTATTATTTTCCCCATTCCCCTCACTTCCTCTTGTATATAATTTTGTATAACCCTGAGGGTCTCCTTCCATTTCCATGCAATTTCCCTTCTCTATCCCTTTCCCTCCCACCTCTCATCCCTGTCTAATGTTAATCTTCTTCTCATGCTCTTCATCCCTACTCTGTTCTTAGTTACTCTCCTTATATTAAAGAAGACATTTGGCATTTGTTTTTTAGGGATTGGCTAGCTTCACTTAGCATAATCTGCTCTAATGCCATCCATTTCCCTGCAAATTCTATGATTTTGTCATTTTTTAATGCAGAGTAATACTCCATTGTGTATAAATGCCACATTTTTTTTTATCCATTCGTCTATTGAAGGGCATCTAGGTTGGTTCCACAGTCTTGCTATTGTGAATTGTGCTGCTATGAACATCGATGTAGCAGTGTCCCTGTAGCATGCTCTTTTTAGGTCTTTAGGGAATAGACCGAGAAGGGGAATAGCTGGGTCAAATGGTGGTTCCATTCCCAGATTTCCAAGAAATCTCCATACTGCTTTCCAAATTGGCTGCACCAATTTGCAGTCCCACCAGCAATGTACAAGTGTACCCTTTTCCCCACATCCTCGCCAGCACTTGTTGTTTGACTTCATAATGGCTGCCAATCTTACTGGAGTGAGATGGTAACTTAGGGTGGTTTTGATTTGCATTTCTCTGACTGCTAGAAATGGTGAGCATTTTTTCATGTACTTGTTGATTGATTGTATGTCCTCCTCTGAGAAGTGTCTGTTCAGGTCCTTGGCCCATTTGTTGATTGGGTTATTTGTTATCTTATTGTCTAATTTTTTGAGTTCTTTGTATACTCTGGATATTAGGGCTCTATCTGAAGTGTGAGGAGTAAAGATTTGTTTCCAGGGTGTAGGCTCCCTATTTACCTCTCTTATTGTTTCTTTTGCTGAGAAAAAACTTTTTAGTTTGAGTAAGTCCCATTTGGTGATTCTAGTTATTAACTCTTGTGCTACCAGTGTCCTATTGAGGAATTTGGAGCCCGACCCCACAGTATGTAGATCGTAGCCAACTTTTTCTTCTATCAGACGGCGTGTCTCTGATTTGATATCAAGCTCCTTGATCCATTTTGAATTCACTTTTGTGCATGGCGAGAGAAAGGGATTCAGTTTCATTTTGTTGCATATGGATTTCCAGTTTTCCCAGCACCATTTGTTGAAGATGCTATCCTTCCTCCATTGCATGCTTTTAGCCCCTTTATCAAATATAAGATAGTTGTAGTTTTGTGGATTGGTTTCTGTGTCCTCTATTCTGTACCATTGGTCCACCCGCCTGTTTTGGTACCAGTACCATGCTGTTTTTGTTACTATTGCTCTGTAGTATAGTTTGAAGTCTGGTATCGCTATACCGCCTGATTCACACTTCCTGCTTAGCATTGTTTTTGCTATTCTGGGTCTTTTATTTTTCCATATGAATTTCATGATTGCTTTCTCTATTTCTACAAGAAATGCCGTTGGGATTTTGATTGGCATTGCATTAAACCTATAGAGAACTTTTGGTAATATCGCCATTTTGATGATGTTAGTTCTGCCTATCCATGAACAGGGTATATTTTTCCATCTTCTAAGATCTTCTTCTATTTCTCTCTTTAGGGTTCTGTAGTTTTCATTGTATAAGTCTTTCACCTCTTTTGTTAGGTTGATTCCCAAGTATTTTATTTTTTTTGAAGATATTGTGAATGGAGTGGTTGTCCTCATTTCCATTTCAGAGGATTTGTCGCTGATATACAGGAATGCCTTTGATTTATGCGTGTTGATTTTATATCCTGCCACTTTGCTGAATTCATTTATTTGCTCTAATAGTTTCTTTGTAGACCCTTTTGGGTCTGCTAGGTATAGAATCATGTCACCTGCAAATAGTGATAATTTAAGTTCTTCTTTTCCTATTTTTATGCCTTTAATTTCTTTCGTCTGTCTAATTGCTCTGGCCAGTGTTTCTAGAACTATGTTGAACAGAAGTGGTGAGAGAGGGCATCCCTGTCTTGTTCCAGATTTTAGAGGGAATGCCTTCAGTTTTTCCTCCATTCAGAATGATGCTAGCCTGAGGCTTAGCATAGATTGCTTTTACAATATTGAGGTATGTTCCTGTTATCCCTAGTTTTTCTAGAGTTTTGAACATAAAGGGATGCTGTACTTTGTCGAATGCTTTTTCCGCATCTATCGAGATGATCATATGGTTCTTATTTTTAAGTCTATTGATGTGGTGAATAACATTTATTGATTTCCGTATATTGAACCAGCCTTGCATCCCAGGGATGAATCCTACTTGATCATGGTGCACAATTTTTTTGATATGTTTTTGTATCCGATTCGCCAGAATTTTATTGAGGATTTTTGCATCTAGGTTCATTAGAGATATTGGTCTGTAGTTTTCTTTCTTTGAAGTGTCTTTGTCTGGTTTAGGTATCAGGGTGATGTTGGCCTCATAGAATGAATTTGGAAGTTCTCCCTCTTTTTCTATTTCCTGAAGTAGCTTGAAAAGTATTGGTATTAGTTCCTCTTTAAAGGTTTTGTAAAACTCTGCTGTATACCCATCCGGTCCTGGGCTTTTCTTAGTTGGTAGTCTTTTGATGGTTTCTTCTATTTCCTCAATTGATATTGGTCTGTTTAGGTTGTCTATATCCTCCTGACTCAATCTGGGCAGATCATATGACTTAAGAAATTTATCTATGCCTTCACTATCTTCTAATTTATTGGAGTATAAGGATTCAAAATAGTTTTTGATTATCTTCTGTATTTCTGAAGTGTCTGTTGTGATATTGCCTTTTTCATCCCGTATGCTAGTAATTTGAGTTCTCTCTCTTCTTCTCTTCACTAGCATGGCTAAGGGTCTGTCGATTTTGTTTATTTTTTCAAAGAACCAACTTTTAGTTTTGTCAATTTTTTCAATTGTTTCTTTTGTTTCGATTTCATTAATTTCAGCTTTGATTTTAATTATTTCTTGCCTTCTACTTCTTTTGCTGTTGTTTTGCTCTTCTTTTTCAAGGATTTTGAGATGAAGTATGAGATCAT